ACACACACACACACACACACACACACACACAGGAAGTGACATGAGCTGCTGGGAAACTAAAACAAAAACATATCAGAAGTGGAAACATTTTATTTTCTGATTTTCTTCTGTGTCTAAATCTGAACGACTGCTGAAGCTGAGGGATTTAAGCTAAAAGAACACGAGCTAAAATTATTTAAAGGCTAGCCAAAACTAGAAAAATCTACGAAAGCTAACTCTACAAAAATAAAAGAAGGAAATGCTAGCTAAAAATAGCAACAAGTTAGCTAACAGTAGCAACAAGTTAGCTAAAAGTAGCAGAAGGCTAAAAGAAGCAAATGTTAGCTTACAGTAGCAACAAGTTAGCTAAAAGTAGCAGAAGGCTAAAAGAAGCAAATGTTAGCTTACAGTAGCAACAAGTTAGCTAAAAGTAGCAAAAGGCTAAAAGAAGCAAATGTTAGCTAAAAGTAGCAAAAGTCTAGCTAACAGTAGCAAAAGGCTAAAGGAAGCAAATGTTGGCTAAAAGTAGCAGCAAGTTAGCTAACAGTAGCAACAAGTTAGCTAAAAGTAGCAAAAGGCTAAAAGAAGCAAATGTTAGCTAAAAGTAGCAAAAGTCTAGCTAACAGTAGCGAAAGGCTAAAATAAGCAAATTTTAGCTAAAAGTAGCAACAAGTTAGCTAAAAGTAGCAGCAAGTTAGCTAACAGTAGCAACAAGTTAGCTAACAATAGCAAAAGTCTAGCAAACAGTAGAAAATGCTAACTAAAATTAGCAAAAATTTAGCTGAAAGCATCAAGACGCCAACAAAAAGTTAAAAGTAGCCAAATCTCTGAGGAAAAAAAACGAAGCAAAGGGCCAAAAACCTAAAAGAAGAAAGTAGCAAAAGAAAATTAGCTAAAATGGCAAAAGACTAACTAGGAGCAAAAATTATTGCCTTGAGATAAAAAATAGCAAAATGCTATTTAAGTTAAAAGCATCTAGCTGAATGCTAACCGTATCAAAGCCTAGCTAAAAGCTAAAAATAGCATCAGAAAACAGAAACGACCAGCAGCTGAAGCAGCTGAAGCTGATATTTTATAGGATCTGATGAGATCTCTATTTATGAGGAAGTCGGAGCACCCACCTCCTGAAGGAGCACAAAGTTCGACGACAATAATGCTGACTCAGCGTTTACACAACACATAAATAAAAATAAATAAATAAATAAATAAATAAATAAACATTGGAACTAAGAGTTTAAACTTCCTGCCTCCTCAGGTCGTAACGACAAAGGTCAGCTGGGTCACGGAGACACCAAACGTCTGGAGGCTCCCAAGGTCATCGAGGGTCTGGCGGACCAGGTGATCATTTCTGCCGCCTGCGGACGGAACCACACGCTGGCGCTGACAGGTGGGCCGGGYTCGGGTCAGAACCTGGAGGCTTGGGACAGTTCAGTTTGAGTGATGTCTGTGTGTCTCCTCAGAGGACGGTACCGTGTACTCGTTTGGCGAGAACAAACTGGGTCAGCTCGGCCAGGGCAGTCAGACCGACGCCGTCCTCAGTCCGGCACCGGTGAGCCCTCGGTTCTGGTCTCATTGAGAGCCGGGTCTTTCAGAAGTCGGGGTTTAATATTTTTGTTTTGTTTCAGATCTCCTACAACGGTCAGCCTCTGGTCAAAGTGTCCTGCGGCGCCGAGTTCAGCATGGTGGTGGACTGTAAAGGAAACCTGTACTCCTTCGGCTGCCCGGAGTACGGACAGCTAGGTACCATCAGAACCTCTGAGCTGAAGTTCTRCTGCCGTTACAGAGCTGGGCTGATGAGCCACGTTCTGATGGGTCTTTATATAAAATAACAGGGTTTACTGAACAGGCCATGGTTGGTTCTAAAGGATCTGACTGGCTGTAAACAGTGTTTAATATGGCCGTCAAACCTCAGGGTTTATGGACATTTCTAGAGGGGTTCCACAGGGGTCCGTTTTAGGACCTTTACTGTTTACCATCTACATTAACACTTTAAGCCATGGTCACTCCTCCAGTTCCTTCAAAATAATCCTGCTTCAGCTGCTGGCTGTTCTTGTTTTCTGACGTTTTTAACTTTTAGCTAGGCTTTAGATACGGTTAGCATTTAGCTAGATGCTTTTAAGTTAACTCGCATTTTGCAACTTTTTATCTGAAGGCAATACTTTTGCCCCTAATTAGTCTTTTGCTATTTTAGCTTTTTTTGCTACATTCTTCTTCTAGCTTTTTGGCCCTTTGCTACTTTTTTTTTTCCTGAGATTTGGCTACTTTTAACTTTTTCTTGGCTTTTTGATACTTTCAGCTAGACCTTTTGCACATTTTAGCTAGCATTTGCTTCTTTTAGGCTTTTGCTACTTTTAGCTAACTTGTTACTACTTTTAGCTAACATTTGCTTCTTTTAGCCTTTTATTTTTAGCTAAATATTTTGCACATTTTAGCTAGCATTTGCTTCTTTTAGCCTTTTGCTACTGTTAGCTAGACTTTTTTGCTAATTTTAGCTAGCATTTGCTTCTTTTAGCTTGTTGCTGCTTTTAGTTAACTTGTTGCTACTTTTAGCTAGCGTTTGCTTCTTTTAGCCTTTTGCTACTGCTAGCTAGACTTTTTTGCTAATTTTAGCTAGCATTTGCTTCTTTTAGCTTGTTGCTGCTTTTAGCTAACTTGTTGCTGCTTTTAGCTAGCATTTGCTTCTTTTAGCCTTTTGCTACTTTTAGCTAACTTGTTTCTAGTTTACCATTGATATAAAAAAATTTCATGTTAAGTAAATAAAATATATATTTTTTTACTTAATATGAAAATTGTTTCTTATTTCAATGATAAACTTTAAATTTATGATTAAATGCAACAAAATAAATGTAAAAGATGAAAGATAATAATTGTTCTGCTCCTGAACTGTTGAGTTTAATTAACTGAGCAGTTTAGTTGATGCTCAGTATTAATGTCTGACTTTAAAGTTATCATCAATAAACTAAATCTGCCTTAATGCAGCTACTCACTATAAACTCAGTGAGTAAAACTATTAGTTTTACTTTAAATAATATTTCTGTATTTATTTCAGGTTTAGTCAGTCGTACTTAGTTCTTATCAGTGTTTAAAAGAGGACAAACTAAAACTCTGTTCAGTCAAAGTTAAACATGAAGTTTGTTACAACTGGCTCTTATTGTAAGTAAATTGTATTATTACTATTGTTTTTATGTGACTTTGTTGGTGTGGGTGTAACAGGTCTCTCTTGTAAATGAGACAACGAGGTCTCAAGAGATTTTCTTTTATAAATAAAGGATAAAATAAAGTTTTTAAAGCCTCTGATCCGTCTTCAGGTCACAACAGCGACGGGAAGTTCATCGCCCGGGCTCAGAGGATCGAGTTCGACTGCGAGCTCATCCCCCGGCGCGTCGCCATCTTCATCGAGAAGTCCAAGGACGGGCAGATCATGCCGGTGCCCAACGTGGTGGTCAGGGACGTGGCGTGCGGAGCCAATCACACGGTGAGGACGCGCCCCCGGCCCACGCCGGCCCATGTTCTGACTCTGGTTCTAACCCGGTCCCGTGTGTTCCCAGCTGGTGCTGGACTCTCAGAAGCGGGTCTTCAGCTGGGGGTTCGGCGGCTACGGGCGCCTCGGCCACACGGAGCAGAAGGACGAGATGGTCCCTCGGCTCGTCAAGCTCTTCGACTTCCCCGGCCGCGGCGCCGCGCAGATCTTCGCCGGGTACCAGTGCTCCTTCGCCATCAACGAGATGGGTGAGGGGAAAACCCTACTCCTGAACGGACCCCGAGAGTTTCACCCTCAATGTTTACGTCTGGTTTTACTCGTCATGTTTGCAGGGGGGCTTTTCTTCTGGGGGGTGACGAACACGTCCAGGGAGTCCACCATGTACCCCAAGGCTGTGCAGGACCTGTGTGGCTGGAAGATCCGCAGTCTGGCCTGTGGGTGAGTCCAGAGTCTGACTTTACAACTCATCAAGATGTTCGAAAAAAAATACATATTTCTGTAAAAAAAAAAAACAAGTCTTTGTTTAAAAATAATGAATTTGGTTTAATCTTGTTTAAAAACTAGAATAAAATCTGAGGGAAGTGTGCCCCCTGCTGGTGGAAACATGTTCCTGCAGCATCTGAAAATAAAGTTTATCAGAACTAGTCAGCAAAAGAAACCATTAAATAAAATAAGAGTTTGACGACGTAAGCAGACTGAGTTTAAATTTAGTCGTAATGATGACAGATTTTCAGCTGATTTCTGTTTGATTGACAGGAAAAGCAGCATCATCATCGCAGCCGATGAGAGCACAATCAGCTGGGGCCCCTCGCCCACCTTCGGAGAGCTGGTCGGTCACTTCCTGCTGCCGTTTGTTTTGGTTTTAAATCAGCAGAAAAATCAACAATAACAGCTGTTTTATTTTTTTAGGGATACGGAGACAACAAACCCAAATCCTCCACGACCGCTCAGGAGGTTAAAACTCTGGACGGGATCTACGTGGAGCAGGTAAACTCCTCTTAACGCTGTTATTCATGTTCAGGGGCGGCGGTCTGAGTTTACCTGTTCCTGCAGGTGGGGATGGGTTACGCCCACTCTCTGGCCATCGCTCGGCACGACTCTCAGCAGGAAGAGGAGAAGCTGAAGAAGCTGCCGGAGTACAACCCCCGGACCATCTGACCCCGCCCCCAAAACGTCCCAACCACCAACGGACCGGTTCCACAACAATCTGGACCTCTCAGGAGGGTCCGGACCTTTAAAGAACCGGCTCTTTGATCTCAGCTGGTTCCACAGAAACAAAAAAGAGTTTTTAGTTCAAACTGCGGTGAGTCGTCATCGTTCTGTCGTCTGAATCTGTTCGTCGTGTTTTTCTGGTGCTAAAGCAGAACTTTTCCCTCTGAGGGGCTTCAGAGACCACCACTCCAAACCTGGACCTTTTTCTACGTTCAGTTCCCGGAGGATCCGGTTTTTTTGTTTTTTATTTGTCGGACGGTTCGAGCCGGGCCGGTCAGAACCGTGACGTGCACTCCAGCTGTTACATTCCTCCTCCTGCAGCATCCAGGATGCTGACCTCAGAGTCCGTCACCTTCGTTCTTTTAGAACTTTTCCGACGCTCAAAGCGGGTTCAACACGGTCAGAACTTCCAGAACCGCAGAGTCTGGAGCTGATTTTTCAGGCAGGGTTTTTGTTTTTCAAAAAGCAGCAGAGTTCTGTTTGTCCTGCGTTGTTTGTTTTTTTTATGTTCATTGTTTTTGTTTTCATTGCAACAAATAAAGAATCGTTGAAAAAAAAAAAAAAGAGTCGCAGTTAAATTTTAACGTTCCAGCAGGTCGAGACGTTCAAACCCTCAGTTTCCTCTTCAGGTTCTACAGCTGAACAAACCAGAACCATCAAACTGAACCGACTGTCTTTTCAAAATAAAACTCAGAAAAGAGTCGAAACTTAATCTTGTTTTTCTCCCAACAGATTCAGTTTTTGCACCAAGAATCTTCAAACTTCCTGAACATTTCAGTAAAACAAGGAGTTAAATGAAACACGGAGCGAAGCGAAGCTTCCTGTCTGAAACATTTAAAGTTCTGTTTCTGCCGAGTCCACCTGAGTCCAAACAGCCACCAGCAGCAGCTTTAATCTACACCTTCYACCAAAACATGTCAGCTTGGATTACAAAATAAAAGCCTCTGCTTCCTGTTGGGACTTTTGGAGAAACCAGACGGATGTCAGAGTTTACGTCAATAATTCTTTACCTTCAAAACTTTTTATCACCAGAAACAAACCGGACCCCCGACGTCAGTTTTCAGTCAGGTGACGAGGTGRTCCTGTCACCATGGCAACCTGAACTCAGCTGACAGATCACAGCTGTGATTAACAGCTGTTTGTTAATCCGTCCAGATTAACATCTGATATTAATGTGAACAGATTTAACATCTGGTGTTAATCCATCCAGATTAACAGGTGATGTTAAATCTGTCCAGATTGACAGCTGATGTTCATCCATTCAGATTAACATCTGATATTAATCTGAACAGATTGACAGCTGATATTAATCTGTCCAGATTAACATCTGATATTAATCTGAACACATTGACAGCTGATATTAATGTGAACAGATTAACATCTGATGTTAATCCATCCAGATAAAAAGTTTGATAATCTGTCCAGATTGACAGCTGATGTTCATCCATCCAGATTAACATTTGATACTAGTCTGTCCAGATTAACATCTGATATTAATCTGAACAGATTGACAGCTGATATTAATGTGAACAGATTAACATCTGATGTTAATCCATCCAGATTAACAGGTGATGTTAATCTGTCCAGATTGACAGCTGATGTTCATCCATCCAGATTAACAGTTGTTTGTTAATCTGAACAGATTAACATCTGATATTAATCTGAACAGATTGACAGCTGATATTAATCTGTCCAGATTAACATCTGATATTAATCTGAACAGATTGACAGCTGATATTAATGTGAACAGATTAACATCTGATAATCTGGACAGATTAATATCAGATGTTAATCTGGACAGACTAGTATCAAATGTTAATCTGGATGGATGAACATCAGCTGTCAATCTGGACAGATTATCAAACTTTTTATCTGGATGGATTAACATCAGATGTTAATCCATCCAGATTAACAGTTTGTTAATCTGAACAGATTAACAGGTGATGTTAATCTGTCCAGATTGACAGTTGATGTTCATCCATCCAGATTAACAGTTGTTTGTTAATCTGAACAGATTGACAGCTGATATTAATCTGTCCAGATTAACATCATTAACAGTTGTTTGTTAATCTGAACAGATTAACATCTGATTAACAGCTGTTGTGATAAACCAGGTGTTTTGCACCGAACCAACAGAAGAGCCCAGAAACAAATTTGTGTCTYGTAAACAATTTATTTAAATCTAGAAAACTGAACGGCGCGTGTGATTTAATCTTCATCCTCCTCCTCCTCCTCGTCCTGGTTAATCTGGAAGTAGCGCAGCTCGTAGCTCTCCTTGGTGTTGGCGACGACGCGCAGCCAGTCTCGCAGATTGTTCTTCTTCAGGTACTTTTTGGTCAGGTACTTCAGGTACCTGAGGAGAGAAGAGGCGGAGTCGGGACAGGAAGTGACGGCTGAGACCAGGAAGACTTTTTTTTTTTTTTTCGTTATTTAAAACAGAAAAATCCAACAGGTTGATTTTCCTGATCCTGAACTCAGTAAATGTCAAATAAAATCATCTCCTTCCTCTGAGAACAAAACGATTGAGCTCTTATTTTGAAGGAATGCATATCACTCTGTTTAACAATCAGTGACTGAGTGTCATTAACATGTGTCCAGCTGTGCAGGGGATATTTTACTAACATTAAATAAATGAAACTTCCTGTCTACAGCATCAGGTTTTTATTTTATTGTGCAATAATTTGAACTTGAAACTTGATTACGTTCTCAAACTGGGAGTAGTTGTTCCGACATGTTTATGTTTATAATTATAAAGCTTGTGTGTAACATACAGGGTTAATTAGTAAAATAATAATAATTATTAAAATGACTGTTTTTCAGCACTGAGTATTTTAATTGTTTTCTAGTGAGAAAGTTGTTTTTTTCCAACGCTACTTTGAACGTTGCTCAGCTTGTGCCGGACGGGGAGCAGTTTGACCAAAAAGGATAAAAATAAATAAGCACACTCACCGCCGTGCTGGCAAACATGAACATATATGATCTGTTCTGTTTGTTATGATATCAGACTGATAAGTATGACATCATCATCCCCTGATATCGGGCTGAGAGTTATCGTGCACCCCTAGCTGAAGCTGCTTGAGTGTTGTCATCTGATCCCAGTCTGTCTGTAGTTTTTATTTCCCAACAGAAATATCAAACGTCTGTAAGTTACATTATCAAAGTCGTATCAAACATATTTCTGACATGGATCACATGTCGGTCACAAGATGTACTGTTAGTGTTTTATCACCAGCAGGTTTGAATCAAAACAAAGAGACAGTTTCTGAGCAGCGACTGGTTATGATGGAGCTGCAGTCAGAAGCAGAGGAGCTCTGATCACTAATCATACTGATCAGTTTTCCTAACGGCTACATTTCAATCAATCAGAAACTGACCCGTTTCTCCCYGACAGACTGCAGAACTCGGACTAGGGACGGGTACCGAATTTGATACTTTTTTAAGTACAGAGCGAATTCTGTCAGTACTACTGAGAACCTGTTCACATAACATCAAACAGTACCATGTTTCGGTACCTAAACGCATCATTGTGACTGTATTGGTGTAAGAGTGGTGAGTTTTCCATGCTTGTCCTGAACGCAGCATCATGTAATGACATCAGCAGCTGCTGGTTCAGTCTGAATGTAGCAGGTTTCAGTTAAATTTAAGACCAAACCGACACATTAACAGAAACATTCAAATGGTTTCAGAGATGTTAACATAAAAACCTTTTATTGTTATCAATCTTAAAGAACATTTAATTTTAATACAAGAACACTAAATTATTTTAATGAATTGTATCGATGAGAGCTTCATATGGACTGCTGTGGAGCACTTCCCACAGTAAAAATCACTGATAAAGTCTCAGTGAAAACACTTCCCATATTTAACAACAAGCAGTGACTGAACTTTGTTTTGTTGCAGGTGAACAAGCTGCTGTCTGCAGGGGGCTGCAGCTGCAGTCTGCGGGGGGCTGCAGCTGCAGTCTGCGGGGGGCTGCAGCTGCAGTCTGCGGGGGGCTGCAGCTGCAGTCTGCGGGGGGCTGCAGCTGCAGTCTGCGGGGGGCTGCAGCTGCAGTCTGCGGG